CTCTTTCTTTCTTTCTTTCTTTCTTTCTTTCTTTCTTTCTTTCTTTCTTTCTTTCTTTTCTTCTTTTTTCTTGTGACAAGGTCTTTCATTGAACTAGAAACTCACTGTTTCAGTTAGGCTACCTGGCCAATGAGCTCCTGAGCTCTGCTTGTCTTTGTCCTTTAACAATGGGGTTACTGATGTGGGCACCTATACCTAACACTTACATGGGAGCTGGGGAAATCCTTGGTGTTCTTGCTCACTAAATCGTCTCACCAGCTCTCCCTGGGGGTGTTTATTCCTATTGCTTTAGTTGTTTTTGAGAAGATGGGCTATTGCTATCTGAATCTCTCTTCTCCCCGTGTCCCTGCCCAATCTCTGCAGTTTTTAGAGAGAGAGTTTCCCTATGTAGCCCTGACTATACTGGAACTCACTCTGTAGGTCAGGATGGCCTTGAACTCAGGGATTCACTTGCCTCTGCCTCTCCAGTGCTAGAATTAAAGGTGTGAACCACCATGTCTAGTGCTATTGGGATATCTCTTAAAATTTGCCTACCTTCTTGTGTCCATATGCTTGTCCTACCCCATGACGTTTTATTTGGTAAATGTAGGGTTTTTATTTTTCTACAGGCAAAGGCATAAAAATGCTTATTCATCACATTTATGCATTTTTTGATGTTCTAAAAAGAGTTCCTTCATGTCACTAGTACAATGTGTTTGTCCTATCTCATGATATTTTATTTGGTAAATAGTTTTTTTCAATAGACAAATGCACAAAAATGCTTGTGCATCATATTTATACATTTTATTTTGTTCTAAAAGAGTTACTTTTTCCTTCATATCACTAGTATTAAAAGAAGTGCATTGAAAATAGGGATTCCATCATTTACTTTAAAAAGATTGTATTTTTTAAAATAATTTATTTATTTTTTCTCAAATCATAGTTCATTCACACAGGGGTTATAAACACAGAAAGGCAGGATGTGGGGAAGGGGATGACACTGGAGTGTGGGTGTTGAGGGGGAATACAGATATCTTTCCTAACCGGGTATCAGCTGGGTGAAGATTCAGGGTACAGGTCATTATGACTCTGCCTATGACTCACTTGTCCTTATCTAAGTTGGTATTGTCTGCCAAGGTTACCTATTTACAAGGTCTATGACTACTCAGGCTTGTAAATTTCCATAAAAGCTGCCTGTTTACAATAGCTTATAGCCTTCTGTTTCAATGTTTTTTTTTACAGAGACCCAAGACTTGGTGTTAGTATACATGTATGACAGGCCTATTGCTGATTTTAGGCCTATGGCTGATTTTAGGCCTTCAGTGTGTAAACTGTGAAACAACAGATAAATAATTTAGAAGCAAAACCTATTCAGAAACATTATCATAAGTTAGCTATGGAGGACCACGAGACTCAAGATGAGGTTGTTACTTTATCTAGGATGCTCCCAAAACCCATCTCCACCCAACTGTATTTTGTTTTATATTATCTATCTATCCATCCATCCATCTATCATCAATTGATAATTCTTTTTGCCTATCTATCTATCTATCTATCTATCTATCTATCTATCTATCTATTGCTTATCTAATTATTTTGTGTGTATGTTCAATGTGTCATGGCATGATTATGGAGGTCAAGGTACAACATGTGCAAATTGGCTCCCTCCTTCCACCATGTAAACTCTGGGAATTGAACTCAGGTAGTCAGGCTTAACAACATGTGACCTTCCTCACCAAGTCATCTCACCAGCCCACACTGACTTTTGAATGCACTATTTACAGAATACAAGAGTGCTTATTTATCTGTCTTTGTTAAATTATATAGTTCTCCTTTACAGTAAATTCTAACAAAGCTCTCCCATGCTCCTGCAAAGCATTCTTTTATTTATGGCATGTTATCCCAAGTGTTAGAGCGTTCCAAGAAATTTGGGGTGATTCGAACTTTTCTATTGTGAGACAAAGTGAGCATGTCTTCTCTCAAGTCTCCCATATCACTGAGAGACACACTTTCAGAAATGGCTGGGTTTTGAATAAATAGTCTATACGCACTTGTACACTAAATATGAAATGTGCTTTGCTTATCTAAAAACTGCAGCCATTACAGAGTACAGGGATACAGTAGCTGATGAATGAACAGACTATAACCCAGCCCTGACAGCTTTCATTGGAAGCATGATTGTATAAATACTATTCCATTTTAAACTTTCTCTTTCCTCTTTAAATAAAAAAACAAGCAAACAGACAGACAGACAAACAAAAACTTTACCCATTTTGTGTTGACTGCACCATTATTTGGAAAAGTGAAGGCCTAGAAATAATCAGAATATTCAGTTGTAGGAAATTTGTTTATAACTATTATCACAAAACCCTAATTTCCTAGACCATATATGTTGAGAGCACAAAAGTCAACAAAGCAAATAACAAATTTCAGGACCGAAAAGAAGACCACAACCAACCAACCCATATATGTATTAAACAGGATCTATTCTGTGAGTTTATTTTTCATAATATGTAGATTTCTCCCCCTATTTCTTGAGTAATTTTATAAAATCTTTTGGACATGAGATGCAAGGAGACAGAGGAAGGGAAGAAGAGAATTGCACCCAGATTTAGAAACATAAGGTTGGTGTTACAGGTCACTACATTATCGGCAGTGATTCCAGAATCACTGAATTGAATGTTCTGATCAGTCACTTGGCACAGCAAAGGGCTTTGAAAAGAAATCAAACAATTTTACTGATTTTGAATCTGTGCAATTATTTTTACGAATCTTTAAAATTAGCATACAAAGGAATGGGATTCATTATGCCATTTTCACAAATTTATATCACTGTGCTTTATTTTTTTACTTATTCACTTTATATCCAGTTCACTGCCCCTCTTCTGCTCACCTCACAATCCTTCCCTGCATCTCCCCTCCTTTTCTCCTATGAGCAGGTGCCCCCCCCACATATCTCCCCACCCTGGCAAGTCTCTGGGAGGCTAGGCACATCCTCTCTTACTGAGGGCAGACAAGGCAGCCCAGCTAGAAGAACATATCCCACGAACAGCCAACAAGTTTTGGGTTAGCCCTCATTCCAGTTGTTTTGGACTCATGTGAAGACCAAGCTGCATATTTGCTACATATGTGCAGGTAGGCCTAGATTCAGCTCATGTATGTTCTTTGGTTGGTGGTTCAGTTTCTGAAAGCCCCAAAAGTCCAGGTTGGTTTATAATGTTAGTCTTCCTGTGGAGTTCCTATCTCCTTTAGGCCTGCAATCCTTCCTCCTATTCTTCTTTAAGAGTCCCCAAGCTCCATTCAATGTTTGGCTGTGGGTGTCTGCATCTGTCTGAGTCAGCTGCTTCGGGGAGGACTGTCATGCTAGACTCCTTGGTTTTGCTTATGGGATGGGTCTCAAGTTGGGCCAATTATTGGTTGGCCATTCCCTCAGGCTCTGCTCCATTCCTCTTCCCTTTGTTCTTCCTCTCCC